TGCCTATTAAGCCGTTTTATTATTTTTTTTTTTTTTTCTCATGACTGTGCCAGCACATCTGCTGATTGTCTATACTTGTAAGTGACAAATGCGGATAAATAAATGAAAGTGCAAAAAAAAAAAAATCGTCTGGAAGTGACTCGATTTTTGAACTGAAATCAACTGAGATGTATATGAGTCAAATTTCATATCGATTTGCATGCGGAGAGAGAGAAGAAGAATTATTGGAGCTAATTTAAATGTCCGAATTCCTGCGTTCTTTGTACAAGAGCTCTTATAAGAAACAGTATTAAATTTACCTCCTATCCATTAGACTTTAGAAAGCAAGTTCTTTTTACTAATGATGTGAGAGATGGCCAAAGGTCCTCAGACGTCATCGTTATTATTGTTAAACGGTTCTGAGAACAATATTCATAATGTATGATCCCACAGATGTTATTCCAATATAGCTCAAGCATGTCCAGAGGTGGTATATCTTTTGATTCCTTTACGGAATTAATGATTGTGCAAGTCCTAATGTGCTCAAAGGTACGCGGAATAGTCTGAGTAACTTTTCCGTATGCCATTTATCCCCTACATTGGAATAGCGTTTCTTGCTAAAGCATGAAAAAAACAACCACACATAGATTATGGTGTAGTTAAGTACCTCCTCTAGGACGTTGGCATCTTATTCTTGGAATGGTATTCGAAAAATCCAGACCTTAATCCGAAAAAGCATGATTGTTAGTGTCCAAGCCCCATGTGTGAAACCGGAATCCCATTCCTAGTACACTTCGAAAGCAGAAAACAGCAGTCAAAGATTTTTCAAACTCAAACCAGTATCTGGATACACTTTTAAGTTTCAAAGATCAGAATAATACAAAACTTCGATAAGAAATCAATCCAAAACGCTACAAACACCAACTGACTTATCATATATTACTAAACTTCGAATAAAGCTCTCCATTTACTATAATTTAACGACTTTACAAGTTATTAAAAATAAAGAGTAACAAACTCAACCCAGTTAATAAATTATTTATTCAATCGTAATATATATATAACGTTTTCTTTTGTTTATATATTACATTGCGTATTTTTTTTTTATATTAATGTCTGTAATTTGTTCCTTTATTATTTATATCTTATGTAGGTTTTTACTTTCACTTACCTATATATGTAATATATCGTAAGAGAAAGCATTGAAAAAATATTTCGAATGTGAGTTTTCAATGTAAATATATGTTTTGAGATCCCGCAAGCCCAAATAACCAACAAAATGATTTGTAAACAGTATAGCTCAAAAACAATAAGTCGTACGAAAGTAAAATTGCATATTTTAAGGTTTTGATATACCTGGGATAGACAGCAACATTTTTCTCAAAATCGACTAACTAAAAGTGGCACTTTATATTATCGATTTAACACATTTTTTTACGATTTTCTTAAAAACAGCTCTAACGATTTTTATTACATTCATTATATAAGTGTAAAATTATGCTGTTTTTAATATAATGCAGGTTTTATATTCTCTAACTTTTTAAATGGGCTTAAATGGCTAATTTTCAAAATTGTTTCCACTAACGTACATTTGTTTTATTTTTATTTGAAGAAATTAACCATTTCATATCACATAAATTTTCTCCTTTTACATATACCCGATAACCCTCTTTTATATTGTTAGTTTAATTTTTATAAATCACATATCCATAATTTTTTTAAAAAGGTTTTCATGCGAAATATTAGTATAAACCTAATAATATACAATATTTATTAACGTTTCGTGAAATATGTTATTTTTTCAACGAGTTTCGTGATAAATGTTTCCAATAAAAATCAGAATTTTTCCAAAAGATCTATTTTCTCCTACAATCATTAGAATTGTTTCACGCTATGCACAGTCGTAATAGGGAATGGAAAGTGATGCAAATATATAAATTTAACAAATTTGATGGGTGGGAAAAAACATGGTAATTAATTATTTTAAATGAAGTTACACCACCCTTTTCAGTTTGACTTCCCTATATATGAACATATTTATCTAAGGTTGGTTAGTGAAAGCTGTGTGATACGCGCACTGCACCACATATTTTGTCAGTTTTCTTGTATAAAATAGGTTCCTGTATACTTAACAGGAATAACACTACTATTATAACATGTGTAATGTAATTGTAACTAAAGCATGTTATCATTATTTCATAATGTATTATTACAACATGTAAATAAATGATAATTTAAAAAAACGGCTGTTATTGAAAAGTCCGACAATACACCCCAGGAATTGATAAATAACATGATTAAGGGTACAAGGAAACGATTAATTTTCATAAAGCAATGCACATGCAGTATCACGGGCTATTAAGTTCATTTTAATACAAATTGTACAGTTTCCAATATTTTTTTAAAAGTTATTTATCGAATAATATAAAAATATAGTAGTAACTAGTGAAGAGTTTACCCATTGGTAGAACTTTGATTTTCCAATTATAAAGGTTATAAAGTAGCGTTTATAATTTTGCATTTTTTTTTTTTAATTATAAATTACCTAAATATTTAATAATATTTTCCACGACGTATTTTACTAGTTATTTCATGAAATCTTAAAGCAAATTAAAGCGCTATATATTGCTTAAAACATACAAATTTCAAGTTGATACGTTAATTTTGTCCAAGAGTTAATATATATACAAATAGAAATACATATAATTTCCATTTCTTATAATTTTAAATCATTGTCTTAAATTGCATAAAACCCATCCCTCCAAAAACGTAAAAGATAAATGATATCAGTGGTGTTTCAAAAGAAAAAAATTCAAGTGCATTTATTAAGGCGGAAAACAAATGCTGCAGGTGGAAGCGAGAACCCGTCGGGGCGGTTCCCTTTCTATTTCAGTCACTTCCCAACTTCTAGTAGGCCACTTTAATATTCCCACTATCTCTTTCTGTTAACAAATCCTTTTTTTTTTTTATTTAACTTATTTTTTTACTCAGAGCCCTTTATGCAATCAACCGGCATCAATAAATTACGTGTTACAAGAAGTATTAAAATCAGCGTATTAGATTTTTAAAAAAATTAGTAATTTCTTGTATAGATTAAGAATTTTGGTAGAGTATCATTTTTTTATAACAAGTAATGCAATTATTATATGCAATAAGCTGTTTTTTTAATGCAAATTTTAAGTTTACATAATACGCTATAACACGTGTTGATATAAAGATTTTACAATAATTAACAGTTTTTTCATTATTATTTACCCTATTAGCTCATTTTCCCAATTAACTTTTAGTTGTTATTTTTTGTTAAAATTGTTTGTTTTTCATTTTTACTCATAAGGAACCAATAAAAATATATTAATTTCCTCGTGAATGATAGACCAAAAAATAAATAGAATAAGATAATCGATAAGAGTAATGATTTTTCATCCATAATAAATAATTGAATAACCATCTACTTAACAAGTACCCAATACAAAAATGATTTTGTTCCGGTGTACTGCTTAGACAGAACTGAAGAAACCTATTATCAATTCACTACCCACTAGCTGTGGCTTTAAAACACTTTATGAAACACTGCTATGAAACACTTTATTTGGATTTCAAACATATTTACTTATCGTTACCTTCAGTATACTCCCCTCCTCTATCCCTACAACACTCCATGCGAATATTTTCTTGCCTGTAACATGGTGGAAGTCTTCTTACATCAGTTCCTTCAGGAAGCTTCATCTCAGCGTAACCTACAACTATCTTATTTACAAAATATCTTGGTAATTTGTGTGTTTTCAATCTGGAGATCGTCAAACCTTGTCTATTTAATTAGGTACTAAAACCTCGTAAATAGCCAGTTGCTTTCTACTTAAATCTTAAGATAACTTGAACAAAAACGTCCCAATATTTATGTAGGCCACCTTTTTTCTCTGTTTCATAATCACATTTTCTTACGATCTTTATCGATCTTACGATCCAAATAAAAAGCAAATGGGTATATTGAAGTTTTTAGTACCTGACAAAGTTTTCCGACCTATAGACTGAAAAAGTCCCATTTCCAAGAATTTCATAAATAAAATAGTTTTATGTTACAATGGAATGAATTTATTCATGAAGATTCAGGCGTATGTTAATAATTTAGTAAAAAGAGGTCTGTATCACGGACTAAACTGTTTTTTCGATGTTTATGGGATTGTTCACCTTCACTGTGTATCTGAAGGGCAAGCTATTAATCAATCTAACTATTAAGTCTATTGTTATTAAATTTTTAGTGATTTTCGTTTAAAAAAACTATGGTTATAGCCTCGGTGAAAATTCAAAGAAAAACAGTTTTATTTTTCGATTCCTGTGAAAATTCGTATTTAAGGATTCATGCGGGGGCTAATTATGATTCCCCACTCTGTTTCTCTTTAAAAAAATGTTTGAAATATCTGTAAACAATATTACTACATCGCGTTCTTGCTAAAATAAAAAGCGGCACAGATTGTGAAGGAGCAGTGAGAAGAAGAATTTCAGAACTATTTCAGACTCGCATGGAGTGTTGCGGTGGTGCCCCATTAAAATGTTTGAGGGAAACAAACTTTGACGGGGTTTGAAATTTTTAAGATAAATAGTTTCAAACTATGTGACAAGAAGAAAGCATAGAACGGACTGCTTTAAGTGTACTTGTATATGACCTATGACTTTTAAAAATTTTACTTTAGCTTACAGTGTTATTAAGAAGGGGAGAGCAATAGAATATCTTGAGAGGAAGGGAGAAGTTCATGCACCATCGAGCTTGGGGGAAAAGAGGAAGATGGACAATCCTGGAGTATTGTAGGAGTAGAGGAGGGGTTATATTGGAGGTGATAATAAGAAAATATTTATGGAATCAAAATATTTTTTTTAAAGAATCAGTCTCGTTATTTAATAGCCACACTTCATATATTCCTTAATGCTCACTAATGTTTATTCAAGGATAAAAATATGCAATAGATATCATATTTGAACTTTTTTTAATCTTTATATTTTTCAAAAAATATAACATATTTAACAGAGAATTAACATTGCTTTATGATGGTCGAAACGACTACAGTCGAGCTGGCCCCAAGCTAAGGACCTCTTAGCTTCTTAGCTCAGGACAGAGTGGCCAGGAAGGCGGCGGCCGCCGGCTCGCTGGGCAGGCACTGGCCGAAGGCCTCCAAGAAGAGCGGCTCCTGGAGGACTGCCTGCCTGAAGTCGCTGAAGGAGACCTTGCCGTCCTTGTCCTGGTCCAGCTTGCGGAGGACCAGCTCCACCAGGTCCTTCACGCCCTCCTCCGGGTCCTCCTCCTGCGGCTGCTTCACCAAGCTGTTCCTGGAAAATTGATTCGATTCAATCTTATTGTATAGGTATCGCAAGCAACATCATTTTGAAGAGGAAAAAAACGCTGCAAATTATTTCAAAATGGTTTATTATTTCCAAACAATTATACATCTAAAGTAACATTACCTTCCGATTCACAAAAAAAAAAAATAATAAAAGGTGATTTCAATTATTGGACTAAACTTTCTTATTTTTAATCATTAGTAATATACTAAAAAAAAAATAGGATTACTTCAGTAACACATTCAAAATTTAAAAACTAAACAAACGATATAACATTTTGAGCACAACATATAAAAAAGAACATAAGACCATATCTTTGTTCCTAATTGTCCGATTTTAACGATTTTTTTTTAGGAAATTTCGAAATTTTACCATCCCTCGTAACATTTTTTCCAGCTTCTTTTCGTTATGTATATAAATTTAAGAATATAAACATAAGTATGTTATGTAAATAAATTTAAAGGGCGTCGAGAAAATGACTTTGGCCAAGTTTCATTGAAATCGGTACATTCGTTTAGGAGCTACAGTCTATAGCAACGAGGGTTTTTCGGCTGCCATTTTGAAAGTAAACGGCGGATAGTAATGTCGATGAAGGAGAATCATTCTCGAGTGACCACTGATTTTATATTCAAATTTGAAAAAAATCGGTCCAGTAGTTTCGGAGAAAATGCGCGGACGGCTGACTGCGGACGGACAAAAAAAATTGTATTCGTTTTCCGAATTCTACGCATCCTGAAACGTATATGCGTTTATAATATAAATCTCAAATTTTGAGAGGGGGTTAAGTTTTTGAATTTTTTGGTCGATCACAATGGTTGATTATTGAAAATAATAAACCAAAAAACTTCGGTAACACCGGAATTTTTATTATCGATAGTTTTCAATTCTTTTTGAACTAGAACTTTTTCTTAGCAATTTTTCAAGTAAAGGTTTTACTGAACTTAAATCTTAAAAAAAAATTATTTGACAGTTCTATCGATTTAGCTAAAAAGTCGACCTAAAATATGATTTTTATTCATAACCTGTCAAACAAACGACTCATTAGAGTGAAGTGTAATTCATTTAAGACAAATTATAACCCTAATCTAAGCCCAATTACTGTAGATTTCTCATTTAACTATTTTTAATAACTAGAATAAATATATGTTAAACTTTTACAATAAACCTAGAACTTTTTTACTAAAAAGATCCTTAGAACTTTTATTTCAAAAAGTTTTTTCTTAAAACGTTTCACGGAAAGTGTTAAAACTGGAACTTTTTTCGTAAAATGATTCACGAAAACTGTTGAAATGAAACTTTTAAAAAATTTCAACAAAAGTTTCAATCCCAGGTCTGAAATGTTGTGTTAATTATATATTATGAATTGACAAATTGACAATGCCAGATTCATTACTTTGTTTTTCAAATAATCTATCATGAAATAGAATTTAGTCATACAGTTATTTTTAAAATTCAATATGACACATTGTCAGGTAATTATGCCTAGGGAATACATCCAACCACATCCTTTACTCACCCTCAAAGCAAAGATACAGAACTAAATCCGACGAGGAAAAATTGGCACTTAGGGAAAAAAAAATATATATCAAAGTTAAAATCAAACGCTTTGTTACTGAATAAATTTTCAATGAATGCACAGCATGATTGATAAAATTTAGAAGTAGTATGCTTTTACAGACCATTATTCTTTATAATTTATTTTCAAATTATAAACCGCGAAATAAGTTAATATTACTGGTACTAGCGGATCCAGGATTTAATTTTGGGGGAGGCTTCACCCCGAAAGCTTTTATATATATACTTTGTACTTTGATATATATATATATGTATATAAAAATCATTATTTTGAAAGAAAAAGAAAGTAACAAACTACCTATATGAAATGGTGTTTAAGTGATTCTTTAATTATTATTCGAACAATAATACTTTTAGAAATAACTTCTTTCATAAGGAATGGTCATATTTTACCATTTTTGGGGAGGGGGTGAGCTTCAGCCCGAAAGTCCCCCTCTCGTAGATCAGCCTGTGATTATTAGTATATTATTTAAAACTAGATTTTTTTTTAATGTAAACAAAAAACTATGTAGTGATAGACTTGAGGAAGGTTTCTCTGTGAAACTACAATTTAGTTCTCAATAAACGAAAAAGATGGAAACAAAACAATGATTCTATTTTGGAGTGATATTAACTCTTCTCCCTCTACACCCAAGTTTTGAAGTTCCTTCATTTTACAATATTTATATCATTGTTATATTATGCGTTAATATTTTTCCGAATCTATGAATGTATAAACTATAATGAGATTGGCTGACCTTTGTTAAAGTTTGAAAAGAACAAATTAATAATTAAAGAACCTGTTAGATTCTTGAAATTTGAAGGACAAAACCAATATAATATAAATAAATATCTTGCTTATTACTTCGATGAGTTAACAATATTGTATTTTAAATGCGAATCATTTTTTTTTTAATGTAATATAATTAAAGCGTTACAACAAATATAGGGTTCAGTTTTATTGATTTTTACGTAACAATAATTATACTTTGAATTCACCTTTGTTAAATATCTGATATTCCTGCACTGCAGACATGACTTCTTTTATGCATTTTAGGAATTTTCATCACAATCTAAGCCTTATCAGAACTACGGGGAATCTTTGCTAGCATCAAATATTTTCATACAATTCTGCTATTAATACCCTACAATAATAATGTTACGTTAAAATCTATAAATATATTTGGTTGTTTTTTTTTTTTCCAGAGAAAATTGATCCAAAAGATACAATAGGAGTATATGAACAATGAATTTTAAGTGGGGTGTTATGAAAGACATAATAGTGTCATAGAACGATTCCATGAGTAAAACCAGTATTTAAATCACTTTAAAATTAATATTGGCAGAGAAAAATAACAACAAGTCAGGATGTAACAAAAAACATTATAAATAAAACATCATGGAATTGCAATAAGGAAAACAGCATTTAAGATAAAAACTATTGTTTTCTATTTGTAGGATAAATCGATTTTGAAACTCGAGGAATATTTAATGGAAGGAAGGTCTTCAAACAATTCCGTCTCGACTTTTAAACTGTAACACGAAACCCGACACAGACAAGTCCAATAAAATTGAATATCTATTGATCACACAACATTCCAGATACTGTCATTCTGCCATTATTTTATGGATTATATATATAGCTTCCACTATACGAAAATTAATCATAGTGTTGACTTCCTTAATTTTACCATATCGAATCAGTAAATGTAATGACAGTGTTTCATTTCTCCATTTTAAAATAATTTTAAGGGAATCAAGTATAGATTCTTCAAGCTATTTATAAGAGCATAAAGTGCTCATTTCTTGCAAAAAGTCACCAAGTGCATTTTGATGTAGCTTAACTTTCAAATATGTTTTGTGAATTTCTACTTTATTTATCGATACAGAAACACAACAAGTACGTAAAAATGACACAACCTTTTATATATATTAAATATAGTTACAACAAGCGGGCAATTTTCTGGTTTCGCAAAGGGAAAGTTCTTCTAAGTATTCTTAAATTGTGTAAGGTTATGAAATGTCAATAAATCGACGACGTACAGGTTGCACTATAAAGTTATCATTATATTATAAAGCAAGAACAAGAGCTTATTTTTTAATTGTCCTTAATGAGTAAATGTCATCAGGTCATAATTATTATTATTATTTGAGAAGGAGTTAGTCGAGGGTGCGGTCCAATAAATAAAAAAATTAAAATATATAAATTATTTTATATATTAAGACTCATAATAATAAGACTCATAATTTAAGACTCATATACTATATATTATTATTATTATTAAGAAACGTACATTCCCCCTCTCTAAAAAAATAATTCCTCTTCACTCTTTTCTTAAACGGTACAAAAAAAAAAGTGAAATTATGTTTTATGTTGTAGTGTATTTTCCCTTATCCATTGATTTAAATGTCTTCCCAGACTTAATTCCCACAACAAAGTCCAGAGATCCGTGAATATTTCCCCTCAAAAATTCATTAAACTGTAAAAATATGCCCCCTCAAAACTTTTGATTCCGCAAGTTGACTTTTGACTCCACCTATACAAGCGACTAACTTGGAATCCTCATACTAGACTGAAACGATAAGAAACCGCTCGACGTTTCCGATTACTTCAGCATTTACTAGACAAACGCTCTAAAATTTCCATTAATTACAAAAGACTCATATACTTGACTATGATAAGACCTATTTGGACTTACGGAGCTATGGGGCTCCACTAAACCATCGAATTCCTCTCGCATCCAATCCTTACAATCCAAAATCCTTCGTAAAATCTCAATGCTCCTTACTTTGTAACTAATAAAATTATCCATAAAGATTTTAATGTTCCTTATGTTTCTGACCTGGTCCAATCCAGATACATATCCTTCCATAACAAACTTCAGAACCATCCAAACCCTCTCGTTTCTAACCATGCTTCCTCTTCATTTCCTGATAACCCTCCGAGGCGTCTGAAAAGATGGCCCCGTGATCTTCTAATGTAGACATATCATTAGAGTGCTACCATTGATTGGGTAGCTACTCAGCAAGTGTATTCATGTCATTATATCAATTATGTCCAAATTTACTAAATGTATTTATGTAATACAGTTGTAAATGTCATTAAGAAATAAAAAATAAATAAATTATTCTATTCGAATAAATTTTCTTGTCGTTTTAATGGATTCGACTAGAAATTTTCTAATCGAAGAATTTATTTTTTTACTTTAAAAATTACGAATCTGCCGACCCGATAAAAACAGTGTGAAGGATTTTTTTTTGTCGTAAAATGAGAATGTATGGCATAAAATTAAATTTAACATAAAAAAGGTGAATCCATTATGGTGACTGAAACATTAAAAAAAAAAAAAAAACTTAATTCCCTAAAAACTAAGAAGAGTATTTCTATTTTTGAAGTCGTTGTATTAGAAATTAGTTTGAATTCTGAAAATCTAGCATAAATTAGAATTATACTCATAAGTAATTTATTCAAAATTATACTAATCAAGAATTTTGTTTCCAATTTTATCTTATATTCGGATTTTCCATAATCTAGAGAGGCATGTCTGATATGCTTGAAATAGATCGGACTGACTTTGGAATCCCGAGGTGGCTATTAGAGAGGTTGGGTGAGCAGCTAGTAAGAAGATGGATGTTACCTGAGGAGCGTGAACATCTCCTCCCGGACGATGAACCCGTCGCTGTTGAGGTCGTAGACTGCGAAAGTGTACGCTGTCTTCTCCTCCAGCGTCCCCTTCAGGAAGACGGAGGTCCCTATCAGCCATTCGTCCTTCTTCACGAGGCCGTCCGATCCGGAGTCGAATACGCTGAAGATCCGGTCCATGAGGATGTCTTCCGTGCTGACGTCGAAGGTGCTGTGGAGGAGATCTCGGAATACGACGCGTTCGATCCCTTCTTTTTTCTATTATAACAGTGCAGTTATTATATTTCAAATAAGTTAAAAATTCATTGGACAGCTATAATTTTCTACCACATGAGCTGTGATGTTATTGAATCGATTTTTTTTTTTAAATAATAAGTAACATAAAAAAACAATAAGGAAAAACTTTTTAATTTGATTTATAACCCAAATCGAATTCATTACATTCCTATTTATTTACAATCTGATACTTGCATGTTAATTGATGCTTATATTATACTAAAGTTAACCCCAAAAAATCCTAGTTCATTCAGAATAATTATACTTTAAAAACCTTTTAATATAGTATTGGTACAAAACTTACAATAATATGAAAATAAAAAGTTATTGTCTTAATTTTTAGAGAAATTTCGATTTATAATGAGAAAAAGTAGTTTTCAAGAAAAATCTTTTAAACATCTTGTCAACCGATTAAGATAACCTGATCTTGTTGATTGGTTATGCTGAACTACATCCTATTTAATAATATAACTATATTATTAACTCTTATATTATTACTAACTATATATTATTTATTATTATATTATATATTATTAACTACATTTTATACACAGTTTGTTCTGAACTACATTTTTGGTGATACTGAATTACATTAGGGAGGTGTGTAATAAGCGATTGGTGGTGTCGGCATCGAGCCTTCGCGTTCGCTAAGCTTTTTATTATTTTTTATTTATATATATATATATATATATATACACATATATTTATTAATTTATCTATCATTCTACTTGCTAACCTGAGATCTTGGCGATGTCGGTGGTGTCTGAGAAGAGCTAGAAGAGGTAGTGTCCCCAACCAGCTTGTCATATATCAGGTTCATAGCCTCTATTTCCTGCCTAGGGACAAATATTTAAGCGTAAATGCTTAAAATCCATTCAAAATGTTTAAAAATAACTTACAAAACTGACGGTTTTAATAATTGATTTTATGAATCTAATATAAAAATTAGAAGAAGATTAAATATTGGAGGAAATTATAAAGGGGTCAACAAATAAACAAAATAAAACTTTTCATTAATTGACTTCTTTATTTTTCATAGTTTTAACATTAACTTTTAAATTGTTGTCCGTTATCCACTTCATATGAGATGAGAACGTTTTATTTATATATATATATATATATATATATATATATATATATATATATATATATATATATATATATATATATATAGCTTCATGCCGCAAACTGGAAAGCAGTAGCCCAAGATAGGCAGAGGTGAAGAAGGATGGTTCAGGCGGCCAAAGATCTACAACATCTGTAGAGCCAACCGAAAAAAAAAAATATATATATATTCCATTGTATGATATGATAATATATAATAATTAAAGCTTATTGATTGTAAAACTTTTCTCTGAAGACTAATCTCTATTTGAGGAGGTTTATGCATTCTCTGAAACTTAAGCAAAAAATAATCCAAGATATATATAAATTATTCACAATATAATATATATATTTAATACATTTGTAAGCCTCATGTATCACCTCAAATAATCTAATTAGCTTTTAAAAGATAGGAAATTTCTCTAACACACGTATAACACATGTTAGATACAAAATCAAACTCATAATCGGTACCAACATATATATGAGTGGTATCATATCAAAGATGGACACCTGTCATTTTCAAAAAGCGGAGAAAAATTCAATTTTTTTTTCAAGTTCTACTCAAACTGTTTCTGATCATTTTATTTAAGAATGTTGAAGTTCAATCGTTAAAAAAAATGATTAGAATCTGTTCAAATTTAAACTATGTTTGAAAAATTAGCTATTTTTCGACTTTTTAAAAATGAAACATGTCCATCTTTGATATAAAGCCATGCACATATTTTGAAACAGGACTACTTCATTTATTTTACTTGTTTTTTTGGTATTGCATATTTGAACGGAAAATATAAAACCGGAATATTAATAAGAAGGACAATGAAGCTTTTAATTTGGCTCATTCGTCTTTTTTGTAAATTATTACGCAAGATGAAAAGCCCACCGGCTGACTAATATAATCTTTACAAAACGATTTCGGGGAGTTCTCATGCAACCAACGAATTCACTAAGAACACATCACGAAGAACCAGGCCCACGCGAGGCCTCATTGGTGGAGGTGGAATCACGTCAACTTAATATTCTTCACAACCGAAGACAAATTTCTTTACGTTATTCCGGACGTTTATTCATTTTTAATCAGAAGCAGGAGGGAAAAGTCAATATTTTATCAATAATATTTTTTCTATAGCTGTTCGTTTTTGCTTATATTTTTATTATATTCCGTATGTATATATCCATTTGTGGAGTACGGTGAACTAAAGATATACGAGAAGGGCGTTTAATCCTACGTCACAAAACTAAACAGCGTATTGTGACAAAACTACTTAGTTTGCACCTCTTGTCCGAGAACTTAAAAACTAGAATCTATAAAACATTATCTTACCTACAGTTCTTTACGAATCCGAAACGTGGCCGATTACATTAGGGATGAGCAACGTCTTAAGGTTTTTAAAAATAATGTATTGCATAGAATATTCGGACCGTAGAAAGATGAGTTAACCGCAGAGTTCAGACCGTTACACAAGGCCAAATTGCGTGAACTGTTTCCAGTAAATATATTGAGATGATTACATAACGACGAACCCAATGGGCTTGTAAAATTGTTGGATTTGGTAACGAAAGAATTCCTAAAAAGTTAATATTTGCTGTACCGAATGGTGAACATCCGTGGGACAGGGTTTAGACGGCGAACAGTGAAAGAAGGTGTGTAATAAGCGATTGGTAGTGTCGGCATCGAACCTTCGGATTCGCTCATCATTTTATTATTATTATATCTATATTTATCAACAATATTTTTTCTATAGCTGTTCTTTTTTTGCATATATTTTTATTACATATTTCGATATATGGAATATATATAACAATATCTTACGGCTTTTACAACACATATCATTATGTAGTCCCAGAATTCCTCATCTACCTTAAAAAGGTATAAAGGTAAAATACTATTTGACCCATATTACGCGACATGGATAAATAAATCGCCTGAATGGTTTGGAGTAAGCAATACTGCAACGCTCAGTGCCATGCGGGCTTAGTGTGCATTTTTCAACCTCAGGCTACACATTTTATCTAACAGTGAATCTTGAAAATCTGAATTAAACATATATTGTAAGATAATCCTTAATTCTTTAAGATTTAAGAGAAACTACAGATATGTCAATGTTTTTCTAACTTCAACCACATTCAAGATTATAAATTTCGTCATAATCGGAAATTTATTTTACCAAAAACCAGGAATACACAACATCCTAAAAAATTGTTTTAACGAACCAATACAAAGTAAACATGAAACATATATTAACATCTTAATACTTTTAATAATGAGTACATTTTTAACAAAGATTAAAATACTAACTATATTCTTGATTTATTGCAAAAAGTCACTGAGTCCACTTTTGATGGAGCTGGACATATAAGTATTTTTTTTTTTAAGTTCGACCTTATTTATGAAAAATATATATATTTATGATATATAAAAAAAAAAAACACTCAGAACGTGCTCTGAAATGCCACGAATCCTTTTTTATATCAAACATAGCTACAAGTGCACACTTTTCTGACTTTACAAAAGAACATTTATCAAAATTCTTAGTGATTTGAGGGTTTGAACTTTTTGCAATAAACCAACGATATATATTATAAAGTCATAAACTGACATTTCTTAACTTCAAATAATGAAGATAGAGTACTTACTACCAATGGGTAGTTTCTCAACAAGTGTGTTTCATGTTATTATATTCCTCTGTACACATTTACTTGATATATTCATACTAATACAGTTGTAAATATCATAATAAAAGTTAAAAAAAAGTTAAATAATGAAGAACTTTGATGAATTTTCCATTTGTGAAATCAGAATATTGTGTACTTATATTAGAGTAACTATTATATCTATTATAAATAAACGGGATTTGTGTTATTTTCATGCATGGTATTTTTTTACAGATAAATGAGGTAGAAACTCACAAAAACATACTTGAGTTAACCTATATCAAAAAGGCACATGGTGCTTCGTTTTGCAATAATCCGAATAACAGCACTTATTAAAGTAACTTATTTAGGTCACCGACAATTCTAATTTAACATCTACCAGGTAGCGAAATACAATAATTTGAGACCAAACTAATCGAAGACTAGTACAATACCGGAGCAACAATAAAAGATGTCCATATTTTTTTATTTTTTTTTTTACGTCAGTTAAATTTAATCATAAGTTAAATTGAGTGTATAATTCTATCTATGAGTGAGTAATAAAAAAAAATTCAAGCTATTAATTCGCTATACCTTATGAATGAAAACGACTTTTATCTTCTAGAGTAAAAAATTTACAGAAACTAATAACTATTAATGAGGGATGCTTTTTTATTTCATCTTTTTCAAAATAACTATACTTTGCTATTTTAATGTGGGTTTCATAACAATATCAGTTATACGGTGATACAAACTATGAAATGCTTTCTATTTTCTTAAATACAAATTTTAGGACTGATCCGATATATTGTCATAAACAAAACACCATTTATATAAACACACAATCCGAAAGATGAAGTTGGCGAAACATCTAGAGGTCTGTAACAAATTTGAATCGAAGCTATTGACTTGATACTTTCCAAATAGCCGATTTATTATTTTGACTTTTTGATGTACCACTACAGCTCCTATATAAATCTACTCTTAGATAAAATTTTTCTTTCCTCAGATGCAGACTAAACAATAGCAAATGTTTCCAACTCTTTGAGTACGAGTACCTTGAAAAGTGGAGGACCTTCTTTCCATCTTTCTGATGTTTGCCTTCCGCTTTCATGCTGCTGGAAGGGGCGCCCTTGGCGAAGAACAAGGATACGCTCTTGAGCAAAGCAGTGACGTTGCGGCTTCCCCGCTCGTATCTGAAACGGAAAGCAATCGGTCGGTGTCTTCGTATCTGCTCGGATCGAGTCGGCCACTACCGACCGCTGTCATGATAGCGGGCGAGTCTGTTTAATGTAAACATGTCTGTATGTCTGAAGAAAAGTCTAATTCAATAATATCTTATCAAATGAATAAATAATCTTATAAATTTATCAGACAGTACTTGTTAATGAATCGAGACACTTACAATGAATGAGAATTTACAAGAAAATGAGCATTAAGAATAAATATATTTTGATAAATATTCTTTAAAATATAGAAAAAGGGACGAATGAAAAAGAAGACAAACAAAATTAAAATAGATTGAAGTGCGATAATGATATTAATGCAAACAGAATGTTAATGGCAAAACTATATAAGTAAATTTATACATAATGCTAAAATATTACAGTGATAAAAATATCTACTTCAAAAAAATCACTTATGTTTTGCGGATCTTTTTCTCTCTTAAACAAATTAATAACTTGCCTAATTATTTTTTTTAATTCTTTATTGAGATATATTACAATCTGTCACATCTAAGGACAATAGTGACAGTGATGAAGAGGAGCTCATTCACACTCTATGTGAAATAAATAAGCAGCAAAATAATAATACTAAAAGTAAATGCATATAAACTAAAAGAAACTAAACTAATCAAAATAACTACTTAAATACACACAATATATATATATATATATATATATATATATATATATATATATATATATATATAAATATATATATATATATATATATTTAATTGCATGTGTATATTTAAGTAGTTTTCTTGATTAGTTTAGTTTCTTTTGTGCTTATGTATATTTAATATATCTTGTATAATATGAGTATATATGTATATATATATATATATATTGTTTTTTTCCGGTTGGCGCTGCAGACCTTGAAGATCTTTGGCCGCGAGATGTGGTCTCCTAGATCACATCCCGATTCCCGATTTAAGAACAAGGGGGTAAGGTCATCCGCCGCCCAGTCGGTGTGATTTGCCTTCAGTAGGCTGACGGGTCTCACATACCGGGGAGGGATCTCGGGCAGCGTGGTTTTCCCTAGTGGGCTGTCACCCAATCGGGCGGTCACCCATCCAAGTGCTGACCACGCTCGGCGTTGCTTAACTTGGTTACCTATAGCAAGCACGGCTATTCCAGCCCCCTGCTAAGATATATATATATATATATATATATATATAATTATGCCTTCTCCTTTTTTAAGGGGAAGGCATAAAATACCTACTAACGAACGAGAAACTAACCACGAATTTGTAGTTGGATTTTCAATAATCTTCACACCAAAACCTTTAGAAGATTTTATCAATAAATACTGTAGATTTATATTTATAAAATTCTTCTTTGAATTAGTTATTTATTCTCTCAGAAACATAGCCCTTAACGCAGGCGGATGCCAACAGTTTCTAGGTTTTTGAGAAATAAATCCTACGAAGATTGTTTCGCCCAGTGAATAATGGTCAGAATGAGCTGAGAAAAAACGCAGCGATGTGCCAGATTCATGGTAAGGAATCTGGTAAGGAAGAGGCTGTGGTACGAGGCTCTCAAGATTATGGAAGGCTGGTCATGTCGTAAAAATGGATGATGATTCAACAATTAACCTACGTTTGTCTGAGTATGAGGATGGGAGGATAAAAATAGGACTGCCATGACTGAGATGGGCAAAGGAAGTTGAAGGATAGGCACAGAAGCTTCTGAATACCACAGCATTCGAGCAGAAAACAAAGAGGAATGGATGTCTTGCACTGTGCAATGAAACGGCACCGTCTTAATGGGGAACTTTGAAGTGCATTTTACAAAATGAGTAAACTATCATTTGTAAGCCATAGCTTCTCAACCCTTTACATGAGAAGTTGTTCTGAAAATGTGTGCTGTTCCTGAGATTAGCGTGGGTATCATTATTGGTGTAAAATTAATAATTAAATATTTCAATGCAATCGAAATGTTCTCTTGGAGGATGTCCTAGTGCTTTTATTGATAAAGATCATCGGGACCCAATCCATTAAATTAAAATGACTGGCATCCCTTGTGGGGAAGTTTTTAGTTTTCTTTTCCTGCTTATTGTTTAACATTATTAACTTTATATATATATATAAGAAAAGTGAGAATGCTTATTTGGAGAGCCCTCTCTCTTCCAGTGTCGGATCCAAAGACAAAAAAGAAGAAATGGAAGGAGAAAAAAAGGAAATTGTCCCTCCCAAAACAACTATTTAGGAAGAATGTGTTTCAAACAAACCTGCCAGTACCATTACTCGTCAATATTGAGAATAAATTACCATTCTTTAGGAAGGGGGAAAATTAGGTTCAGGAAAAAAATAAAGATCCAAGAATATATGAATTGATTAATTAATTATCTTGTCTATATCTGTGGAAATCGATTATAAATAGTTCGAAATATAAAATGGTTAGATAATCGATTATAAATAGTTCGAAATATAAAATGGTTAGATAATCGATTTATTACAGTTTCTCCCGTTATTTCTAATATTCTCTCCGATTCTGTAGTCAACTTGATAGTTCCCTCCCAAACACTACCCCTGGCTTCAGAATTTTCCAACCTAACAAATAGGACCATCGGACGGTTGATGTATAGTATATTCACAAGAGTTCCTAACTCGGACAGATCCTATTCCAACAAATATCTCTAATTAATACTCTGAATAAATCAATCAATCTTTGAAAATTATTATCGCTCTTATCCAATTAACGAAATGATCTTCTATGATCTAAAAAACGAAACACTCATTTCCCTTAATTTTATCTTTTCATTGCTTATGACAGGTTTGGGTGAATAAATAAAGTTAAAAAAAAAAATGTCTGCTTGCAGCTAACTACTTCACAGTTAAATATCTACAGCGAAATAGGCCATTTCATCCTTACCACCAGGTCTTTTTCACACATTCTCAATGAATATCCAAAAAACTATCCATCGTTTGACTGCTTTCCAGATGTATTTCACTTTTATTATCCACTATGTCAAAATTATCAAGGGTCCAGTAGTTTATAAACTCTAAATCATTTTTATTGTTATTTAAATTAAAAATATTTAAATAAATATTAACTCATAAAAATGTAGTTAACATTTTTCATATAAGCACAATTATTTTTTATAGAGTAATATATTTCTATAAAAATCAAGTTTATGTTATCAGATTGATAAGGTGAAGGTATTTTTAATATATGATATTTTACTATGAGTTTCTGATCATATTTCCTTAAAATACCCAATAACTTATTTTAATAAGAAACAAATGAGCATTTGTAAAATGCCGAGTTGACATAAGGAATTGGATTAGATGCTGGGCTGGCAGTGTGCATGACTATGTCATTGTAGTCAACACGCAACCACTGTACAAAATAAAATTCATTCTATAAGCTTACCTTTTCTTCTGATAGGTAATGTTGCTCATTTTGTTCCTTATACTTATTAAATTACTCAAAAGAAGATATCCTTGGTGCCCACCAACTAGATCTTGGTTACGGATATATTGATTAAACAACAACTTGTTTTCCATTCATAAATTACTTTCAAATGAATTGATATAATGTTCACATTAGCATTTTAAAAATAAGTAAATTTTAAGATAGGAGGGATTAAATTTTATTTCTTCCTTGATACTAAAATTCAATTAACATATATTTAAAATTTGAATGGTTCACAGAAAATATCTTTGAATGTTTTTATAAAATATTTACTCATTATAAACATCTCCATTTTTACTTTTGAGTAGATACGACAGACAACTTCTCTCCCCCCCCCTCCTCTCACCCCATCATCCTAATTTACAAATAATATAGCTGTATTAATTTTTTTTTTTAATCTCGTGTTTAATGTTATTATTATAACCTGCTTTATTCCTTAATCCTATTGAAAACGTATATTTATTTTTTTAAACATTAATTTTAAGAATTTATTTGATGTGGCATCGATTTTAGCTCCGTTAGCTGGCTGGTTAAACACTTTGGCGTAACTCTTCTAAGTTTGTCAATCGAGTTTCTTTTGATTTCTAGGTTTCAGTCTATATTTATTAAATAGTATTTTTTAATTCTATTCTAAGATGTCCAAAAGAAATGTTGAGGAACTTAAAGCAGGTAAGAAACTTCTTAGTTTTTTATTCCGAATACTAACCTCTTTTTCTTTTTAATTTTTGTTTAAAAAGAGCTTGTCGAACCAGAAGATAATGATAGATTTCACTTAGTTTGGGGTGAAGCTACTCCATTTGTTCAAAATCAAATGCAGCATATCATAAGTCTTAATATGCACATTGTTTTAAATTTGCCAGTGTTTCACCTTACTCAGGAACCCAAGATAGCTCTGGACAAAAGCTGGCTGGAGATAAAAAGGAACCAGAAGGAAACAAAAAGCCTAAACTGGCGTTCAAGATCGGTAAAAAGACTGTATTTCAAACTACGAAAAGTGAAAACATGATACAAAAATCTGAGGTTTGCACTGTTAGCTAGTTATTTTATTTCATTGAGGTCATGTTATGATTCATGAATATATACCTTGTTTACTTTATGTATAGTCAAAACCAGAACCAGTTAAAAGTTCATTGAGGGAAGCTTTTAATTCTGAGAGTGAATCGGAAGAAGAAATGCCACCAGAAGCTAGAATGAGAATGCGCAACATTGGAAGGTACACTGCAATAACTCCTCATTACTAATAGCTGTCTTGTTTTATTCAATGAATTTAATTTCAATTTGTAAATTGTTTATAGAGATACACCTACTTCTGCTGGGCCAAATTCTTTTGGTAAAACGAAACAAGGTTTCTGTGATGCCAAAAAGGTATTTGAAAAGAAACTTAAAGCAGCTGCTGAAAGCACCTTAGATAGCTAAATCTCACTGAATTACTCCAAATTTATGGATAATTATATTACCATGAACTGTTTAACTTAATATAGACCTGTAAATATGTATTTAAATCGATTTTTTGCATCTTTGAATTTTATTGTCGGACAGTGATATATCTCCTAATTGCTAATGTACATTTATTTCATGTATGTATGTACAATCATTTTAATATGTTTTGTTTTCCTGTCCTACAATTTATATTAAATCTTTTTTTCTTTTTTCTATGTTTTTGTTTCAAATTATCCTTTGTCTGTGAAAAATCTAACAGTGAATTGTGAATGAAGTTGTATTAATATTATAATATAATTTCAAAAGCCCCTCTTTGTTCAATATTAAAATTCATACTTTTAGCCAGCCACATGTTAAAGTCACAGAGCAGCAGTTTCTGTGATTTATGTTACAGAAGGGAATTGAAAGGAATGAGATAGCACTGTTTCCTATCACAGAAACTGTGCCAGACTCCTTATCCATTTGTTAACTTCTCAATGTACACTAAACCTTACATAATAAATATAAAGATTTATTTAGGTCAGGATTCAGGTTCATAACTACTTATTCTCTGTGGTCACCAACAATCAACCATCTGAAAACTGAATTGGGCTGCCTAACTCCCAATTCTGGCTTAATTTTTTGTTACACTGATACAGTAAAACTCTTTATTCCTGCTCTAGTTAAAATGTGATCAGTAATCATTTTGAAAACATGTCACATTAAATACACAATATTTTGGATTTTAAAGAGAACATTTCATCAGTAAATGTTTAAGTTTTCTAAACTTACTTAAAGTCTTATGCAAAAAGACCTCTGTTTATTTAATAAATAAGAACTAAGTTGAGAATGAGCCAATTTTTTAACATACGGTGGACTCTCGCTTATTCGTACTATTTCCTAATCCAAACCCTCTTAAAAAAGAAATACGTACATACAATAAAACCATATTGTCGACACTTATGTGCTCAGGACTAAATAATCTAGTTAAAAAATTAACTCCTTTTATTTAAAATAAAATCCAAGCTTTGCATGTAGTTAAGAAATAAATTTCTGAAAAATGATTAATTATTATAAAAATATTTTTATGTAAATACAGCTGTAATTTTTATTTTTAAATTCATTTGTTAGTTATGAAGTGACCTTTTTCCCCGTTTAGTAATCCAAATCTTTTGATAATCTGAACTCCCTTGGTTTTTAATTATTGCGGATCAGCGAGTCCACTGTACCTTCAATTTAAAAAACCAATTCTAATGATGAATTTTCATGATTCGATTTGAACATTCCTAAATAAAACCATCAATAACAGTTTGAGTTGAACCTATGAAATAAAAATTTACTTTCATTTTTTGATGACATATATCCCTCTGGTATGAGATCACTCGTCTATATATCTGTAAATGTTTATTTATTACAATTCAATATCCAATTATAATCCACGTGTTCTAGGTACCAATAATACTACACCTCTTGTTAACAATACAAATTCAGGAGGCAGTCATTATGAAGTTTTTATTAGCGCCGTCGTTTCAACCCAAACATGGTGATCATCAATCAGGGCTGAAAATTTTTAAATTTAATTAGATATATAATATTTAACGACCCATAATGATTAATAATAAAAACTATACTGATTTGTGTAACATCCATCATAGTTTATTATTAATCATTATCGGTCGTATAATATTTATATCTCTGATTGTGTTTAAAAATGTTCAGCTCTGATTGATGACCCACATGTTTGGGTTGAAACGTCGGCACTTCGTTCAGAACTTTTTGATCAATCACTTACTCAGTAAGGTTTTTTTATATACCTAAGATGTTTGAAAATAAGTTCATTTTACCAAAACCAAACTCAAGACAAATCTAGACTTGTCTGATTTCTGTTTTTATGCAGTCATAATATGAAAAAATATCATTTCAAGATACTTTAGATGATTGTAGAGCATGAGAGATTTAAGTCTTGGATGATATAAGTTTCTTTTGAGGACGTACCTATGTATAATTGTGGAGCCGTTTATCTCTTTTCAATGATTACTTTATTACTGAGTTCTATACAATTTAATCAGATTGGTATTGCGAAGACCATTGTGCTTTGTGATCATTAAATACTATATTAAATTAAAAACCAAAAGAGATAAATTTAAAAAAAAAAAATCATGCAATGCAGCCAATAGAACTTGTTTTTAATCTTGTATTATTAAAATCAATTTTTTAATAGAATCGTCTAACATTTATTTCTTAACAATATAATGGCCCAGGCCTGCTGGGACGCCAGCATGGAATGCCAATTCAGTGGCGCTGGAAGACCTGCTGAGCCAATATATTGGCTTCAGCTCTTCATTACCAGTTACACAAAGCCAATATTCTGGCTCATTGCAGAGCTCTCTACTGGGAACCCCATGAATAATAGGTTGTTGCTGGAACCACTAGCAGATGTATTATTTAGGTACAGGTACCATCAAGGGTTAGCGCTCTGAACTTAGCCTTTCCTATTCCTGCTGCTTCCACCCCTATTTCACCTTTCTCTAGTCTTTTGACAGTTAAGCTCTATAACTAACAGCAGTTAGTAATTTTTTATTTTATTTAAATCTCTCATACAATGAAACATTTTTAAATTTTTCCATATCCGAAATTGGTTAATAAAAATAAAAATTTCAAATGAAGAACAAAAAAATTGATGACACTACCTGTACCAACAAAATATAATGTAATGTAAGACAATTACTAAATTAAAAAAAAAGGTATTCAACTATTTATTGAAATATGAGCTAACCATTCTAAAGAAAAATGTTGTCATTCATTAAAAAAAGCATATTTTAATGTGGCAAAGTGAGGGGAGCAATTCAGTGAACATATCCCATGTAGCATCTGACCTTGATTAAGGCTCCATGCAACTAAAATATTCAATTCTACATAGAATTACTATCCTGAGTTAACATATAATTTAATCTCTAGTGTAAGTATAAGGATACAACTTGATGATTCAATAATTTAAAATCCTTATGTATTTGCATATCTACTAAATTGAAGTGACAGCATACATTTTTTCAACTACCAGATAAATAAATATCTTATGAGGTAAACTCACCTATTGAAAACACTGTTAATAATTTCAATTGCCAGATTCATATCTTGTGAGGTAAACTAATTATATTAAAGACACTGTTTATGATTTTAAATTGATAGTGCAATTGAACCTTTATCATCTGATTTTAAAACTAATTCCTGATAATGAATTAGATTTCTAACAAAAAAATTTTATGTATTCAAAAAATTGAACACACGTAAAACAATAACCAAACTTTCTTTCACTTTTCCTTTTACATCTTGTGACAAAAGTGGATTTTCATGGTTTAAACTAAAAAGGAAAGCTGTTACTTCATAGTTTTAAACTATTGTTTGGATACTTAGAAATGTCCTAAAAGGAAAAGCAAACAATAAGTTAGAAAATTGTAAATGTTTTCATCCATCCAAGATTTGAACATATAAGAATCGATCACCAGCAGCAGCAACAGGAAAAGTTCAAATTTTTCAAACCCTAATAAAAAACTTTCATTATTACTATTTTACACTAATTTAAAATTTTCCTCTAAATATTCAGAAAATCATTTAAACCTCTAATATCCAATTCGAAGGACTTAACAACATGAGCGAATAGTTGGAAAAAATTTTCAATGAAGAAGTATTGAAATTCTTATATGTGGTAATGTCTTAACCAATTTTCAATGAAGAAGTATTGAAATTCTTATATGTGGTTGTGTCTTAACCAAGGTCCTTTTTTTTTAAGCTTCGAGTAAGTACCGATGGGTATCAATCTACCTGATGTCTGACATGTTAATAAATGCATTAATACCACATCCGCTGAATGTTGCATGCAGAGTGACAGGTGAAGATATAAAAATAAAAGTTGGAAAGAAACTCATAAAGTACCTGAAAATATTTCTATTATTTTCACTTAAAGATAATAGTAAGACACCTTCCTATTGTTAATCAATTTTTTTATCTGATTTAAATACCTTCTTTTATTTTTAATAAAAAAAGGTAAGTCAGGAGGAATAAACAAAAAAAAAATTAAAAATTGTTTTTTATTAACATTATTTTGAAAAGATTACTTCCTTATCTGGGGTCCACCTTGACGCATCATATCCTGAAACAAGAAAAATTTCATTAGCTTAAAAATCCTTTCAAAATATTTATTTTTAAAAACTCTTCAACTTGAATAAAAATATTAAATTAATTTTTACTTATACTTATTTTTACCCGACTAAGCAAAGCGAAACAAGTGTTGTGTGTTTAGGCCATCTGCTGTAACATTATTTTAAACGAAAGGCTGGATAGATTTTTAAGTTTGATGGCTCAAATTATTCGGTGAGATACCTTGAGTGTTTTGAAACAATATGAACTAAAAATACTGACCCATTATCAAATAAAAAGTGTTTAATCAAATTGCAAAAAGCTTTGTAACACTGCTTTGAGACAATGGTTGGATAGATTTTTAAGTTTATTGGCTCAAATTATTTGGTAAGATACCTTCAGTGGTTTGAAATAATGAAATCAGAATTCTGGCAAATTACTTAATCAATTCGCTAAAATGTACAAACGATTTTTTGAGTGGATGGCCATAACAGATTTTTAACGTTGCCAGCTATAATTAATTAGTGGTGGGAGTGACATTTGCAGACCCCTATGTGCAATACCACTGCTGCTGAAAAAACCTTATACAAGAAATGGCTAGGTAGGATGAAAAGAAAAAAAAGTTGAGTTACTCAGTGAGATCTCGCGAATATTTTGAAAAAATTTTAGCACAAGACACTGAGAAAAAATGTATTATAATTTAAGTATCTCAATTATTAATTGCTTTGAAATTAAATCATGTAATCATATGTTATGAAAATAAATTTTTGATATTTTAAATTGTAAAAATGTTAAAATTAAAAAATATTTGAATTAAATAAAAAAATCAGACTACAGAAATTAGGAAATTCTATCCACCAGAAAGGAATGTGCATCTACATCTACTTAAACATCTTGGTAGATTGATAAGAGTAATTGACAATTATGAATATTTAAACTTGGTGTAGTACCAAACACATTCCCAATGGAACTCTATACTCGGATGTTTATATGCACTGATAAATGGGACTAAATCTATTTGCCGGGAGCCGTAATGTGTAGTGAAAGGCATCTGACTACTATACAAAGTTTTAATATTCGCATATATCAATTACCCTATCAATCTACCAAGATGTCTAAGTAGATATAGAAGTACATTCCCAGAAATGGATAGAATATCCTAATTTCTGTGGTTGGCTTTTTTTTTAATTCAAATACTTTGTATTGGAAAAAAATTCCAAATAGCTAAAAAAAACCTTCAAAATAGCTAACGATAAACCAGGATAAATTAGAATTAAGAAAATAAATAAATTGTCCATAATTTTTTCAAAAACAAGAAACATTAAGATAGGGACAATAACTACTGAACAGCTAAGATACATTTTTATAACAATAATACAGAAGTTAATTAAGTTTCAATAAAAACAAAGGAAGGACATAACTAACTAAGAGAGACAAAATATTTAGCAACAATTAAAGATAAAGTAAGGAATAAACTTTCAATAACCAATAATTTGAAAAAATATACAAAAGCCTCTCTTCTCTTATTCAGCTTTCAATTGTCTACAAACTATAGGTTCGTTCTGTAAAAATTACATTTCAAATGAAGACTCGAGTTTATCAAATTCTAGTTTAATTTTTTAAATGAGGAAAATGTCCCAAACCAATCTTACATTTGTAAACAAAAAAAATTAAACAAGATTAGTTCAAATAAATGACTTTCAGTGGATCAACTTATAGACATTAATATATCCCTAAATATTTTATCCTAAAAAATATAACCAGACATTTCTACTAATAACAGGTAAAAGAAAATAAATTTAAAAAATACCCAACCCATGAAGGGTCTTTGGTTTAGTACTACACCCAATAGAAGACTAAATCATCAGCACCACCAACCATTTGACATTAATGCTAAAAAATAAATCTCTCATGTATCTATTACCATTTTATAATGACAAACTAACTCCATTACTTTTTTTAAACATTTATTAATAGATATGATCTTAAAATTTCTTTTTGAACTGATTTTTTGTTTTCTTTGTAAAATTAAAAATTATATACAAAGTAAAAAATGTTCAACCACACCTACTAGGTATCAATTTATATTGACATCAATTTAGATTGATTAAAACAAACGAAATGAAACAGACCCTCAAACTAAGTCAAGTAACAGTATTACATAATCACCACATGCATTCTTATCTGACCAATAAAAACCAGATGGAATTTAAAATTTATTACAAATCATCAATGAAAATTCCTAATCATGAGTAATTGTATCTTTTAAATGCTACTCAATGGTAAACAATTGGTTCAATATGGCAGTAGTGCCTGAACAGGCTAGATTCGACCCAGGATTGTTGTCTTTTACAGTTAATGTTGTTTATATTTCTAGATATTTAAGCAGAAGACATTTTTTTTAAACTAATTGTGGTCATGAAACATACATTTCTTTCTGTGAATATTTAATTATATGACTTTCAAGGAGCGGATATGTTGGTCAGCTCTATCCCTCACTACACTATATCACTTCTTCATAGATAATAACTGTCAAAATAGACAATTTTTTTATACTTTCGAAACAGCAATAATCACAAACCCCTTCACATTTTTTGATTATTAAGGATAATAACTAAAACTTGCAATGATTATGATGCTAGGAATTTAATTAAAATAATAATTGATTAAATTGGGGAAACAAAAAATGAAAAGTTATACCAATTAAGGCCAAGGAAACAGTAAAATAAAAATGAACACAATGAAAAAATAGTAATATTTAAATCCATATAAGTGAGATCATTTTATTGAGTTATGTGAAATAGAGAAGTTAAAAAATTAGATACTTCTTACAACCAACAGACACCAGTACCACAGAGGAGATTCCTTGTATAGGGCACGGAAACAACAGAATTTGACAAACATGGCATTAAAAACGAGAATTTATCAGAGAAGTGACTATATTGACAAATGATATCTTAAACTAAACTACAACTTCAATAAAAGTGGTTGAAAAATGTGGATAGTTCCAAAACTTCAACATTGGAAATTCGTAAGGTGATTATTTTATTTGTGAGTTTTTGCAATAAAGTGGT